AAAATATACTTATTTGTTCAAGCCTAGCATATATATAATATAAAGAAGTTTCAGAATTGCTAATACATTCTCTTATGAAAAATAGGTTTACTAACTAGGGTATAATATTTGTTCTTTTCGTCTTTAGACTTACAATACACAGTGAAAACCCTGCTTTCTGAAGTTATTATGGTTACCTTTTTCTTCCTCACTGCCTTCAGTGTGTTTCTAATATTAATTGTAATACAAGTAGGTTAATTTGTTACTGTTTATATTGCATATGGGGTTCCTTCCACGTTCTGGTTGGATTTAATGATACATTTATGTGTTGACTTAACCTGTAATGTCTTAGCATGATTTAGAGTAAGAGAGATACAAAAAAGTACACTTGAGGTGTCAGCCCATCCCTACCATTCCTTTTCCATTCTCCCATTCTTTTCACCCGATTTACTCTGAACATAACAAATTCATTCATTTCTGGTTTATTCCTTCTGTAATTCTTATGCTATATATGTTTTCTTATATCCTTTTATTCCTTACATAAATGATATCAGACAACAGATACTCTTCTGTACATTTCTTTTTAAACGTAGTATATATTGGGCAGCCTGGGTGGCTCAGTGGTTTAGCACCTGCCTTCAGCCCAGGGCGTGATCCTAGAGACCCAGGATCGAGTCCCACGTCAGGCTCCCTGCATGGAGCTTGCTTCTCCCTCTGCTTGTGTCTCTGCCTCTGTCTCTGTGTCTCTTATGAATAAATACATAAAATCTTAAAAAATAAATAAATAAACTTAGTGTATCTTGGAAACCATTCTATATCCGTTTATAGAGATTATCCTCATTGTTTTTCTTTTTTGATAGCTTCATTAATACTCTGTGGTATGCATGTACTTTTAAAAAACAAAATTCAACTGAGTAAAATTTAAAGATCTTATGGCTTTTTTTCAATGATTATGAATCAAGTAGCATCCAATCAAACAGATAAGAAGGAGCTCCAAGGAGCTGTACAAAATGAGAGATTTTTATAGACAGATGGCAGCAGAAACAAGGCCATTATACTAGACAAAAAAGCAAATAAATGATTATGTCAAGGTCACTTTTCTTCAGGGGTTGGCAGGAATCTATCAGGCAAATTACCTAACAAGTTCAGATTTGGCAATTCCTGACTGGTTTAAGATTCCATTTCTGGGAGGGCTGAAACTAAGTCTCAGGGTGGTGACATGGGATTTAGCATAAGTGATTCCATTTTGGGCCTGTTGTCTTGTTTCTAACAGTACCATAGTTAACTAAGCACTTTGATTATTTACAATATTTTGCAAAACCCAACAATGCTGCTATAAATAACCTCGGGTGTATATATCTTTACATTGTTGAAGATGTATCTTCGGGATAATTTCTAGAAGTGGGATTACTAGATCAAATGGTAAGTGCATATGCAGCTATGTTAGGTTTCTTCAAAGTTCCTTCCAAAATGGTTGTATTCCCACCAACATTATTTGAGTGCCTATTTCTTCACAACCTCGTCAAAAGAATACATTGCATACTTTTTAACTTTTGCCAATCTGACAGGCATTTAATTTGCATTGCTTTAATTTTGAGTGAATTTGAACATCTTTTTGATATATATTTTTAGGAGTCATTTTTATGTCTCTTCCTGTGAATTGTCTGTTCCTGCCTTTTTATTATTTTCTCAACTTTGGGGCTTTTAAATGTCTTCTTGTTTTAGAGGGTTTTTAAAAAAACACTTAATGTCAGGGCACCTGGGTGGTTCAGTCGATTGGACGGCTAACTCTCTTGATTTCAACTCAGGTCATGATTCTGGGGTCCTGGGTTCGAGCCTCATGCTGAGTCTGCTCAAGGATTTTCTCTCCCTTTCCTTCTCCCACCACTCATCTCTGTCTCTGTTTCTGTCTCTCTCTGTCTCTCTCTGTCTGTCTGTCTGTCTCTCTCTCTATATATATATATATAATTATTATTATATATATTATGTATATACATAAAATAAGTCTTAAAAATAAAATAAATACTTAATGTTAAATTTTGTACTCTTAGGTACTTATAATCATTTTATTAAAACTTAAAAATATGTAGTATTTGCATACTATACTCTCTCATGGGAAGGGAGATACCTAGAGCTACTTTCTGATAGTGATGATGTTCAACAGATACAAACATTTAAAAGAACATTTTTAAGCTTTTCCTACTCCCTAAAAAAAAAAAAAATTAAACTAGTTTTATCTTCATCCAAAATAACTGAGCATTCTTTCTATGAGACCATGTGCCAAGACTCAGGGGACAATCTGTAAGAGTGGACCTGGATAATTTATAATTAGCTATGATGAAGTCTGGGCAGATTTAGACATGTTTGAACCATTCTCACACGATACACTTTCAGTTGCGTGGAGAAATATCCAAGACATTACCCTGTATTTAAAACTATTCCTGTCTCATATACTGCATAGCTCCCTTCTTGTTCAAGGGAACTAGCAAACTAGCTAAGTTTTAACTAAGCAATGAGATCTGTAAAGAAATCAGCTAATTCAAGAAATAGAAAAGTGTAAAACAATATGGAACAACTGAGGTACTTTGTTTATGGAACTGCTCTCTCTATGCAGAAAATAATGTAAAAAAGGCAAAAAAAGGCAAATAGTATAATGACAATGCCTGAGTACCTCAAGGCACTGTATTTTCAATTTCAGTGTGTGTTTGGGCATGTGCTTTTCAAAACATGTCCTGAATTTTGAAGTGGAAATGTGTTACATCCCAGGGCCCAGCACACTGTAAGGGAATCAAGCATATTGTAAGTATTTAATTCAATGAGGCTGTGTACCTTTATAAGCCCAACATTTAGCTTGGTGCTAAAGGAATAAATATGAAAAGAGGGCTCCAGGTCTCAAGGAGATCACAACAAACCAGTGACAACACCACACTACACTAAGCAGTAATGATGGAGTAGGAGTCTAAAGCTAAGAGGCAAAGGGAAGAAAAGGGTCTGTGGAATGAGCCTCAGAAAGATATGAATTCCACAGTTTAAATTTCCAGAGTGTCCATTTCTTTATCAACTCAATAAAGATAATAATTCCCACGGGACACGTAGGTAACTCAGTCAGTTAAGTGTCTGCTTCCAGCTCGGGTCATGATCCTGGGGTCCTGGGATCAAGCCCTGCATGGGGCTCTCTGCTCAGCGGGGGCCTGCTTGTCTCTCTCCCTGTCCCTCATGTGCTCTCTCTCTCAATCTCTCTCAAGTAAGTAAGTAAGTAAGTAAGTAAGTAAGTAAATAAATAAATAAATTCTTTAAAAAAATCAGGATTTGAGCAAGGATACTCTCACTCCAAATCTAATCTATGTTCTAAGGCCCCCCACTGCCTCTCATGATAGAAATTAGGATTAACCTCACAAAATGGACTTCATAATACATTTTGTGGAGACCTACTATTAGAACTTTCCCCAATGTGTGTCAAAAGGCTCCCAAGCCAGCACTGAGTGGGGGACACAGGCTCCAGGTAAATTTGAAGTGAAGAGCCAGCTTGGATACAAATAGATTAGAGAGGACTGCTATGATATTATGGTTTATAATAAGAAATATATGGTTTTCATCCCTGTTCATGGCACAGAGCTTCTAACATCTCTGGAATCTCTTAACTGATAAGAAGCTCTTAACTGGTAAAAGTGTTCTCTTATTTATACCCAGACCCTCTCAACCACTGAGGAGTTTATGCTCAAGAAGCAACTTTTGGAAAGCCCTTGAGGATGGGGCTGATTGCCAAGGGAACCAACCTTGTGATTAGAGGCTTGGAACTTTGAGCCCTAGCTCTCAGACTTCGAGGGCAGGAAGGGGGGCTGAAGATTGAACTCAGTTACCAATGGCCAATGGTTTAATCAATGATGCCTAATGCAATAAAGTCCCAAAAGGATGGGGTTTAGGGAGCTTTTGGGTTAGGGAGCCAGCAGTAGCAACCCCAAATTTCACACATTCTGAATTTATTATATCTCTTCATCTGTTCATTTGAATCCTTTAGTATCCTTTGTAAAATACCAATAATCCAGTAAGTGAACTGTTAAGTTGTTCTCTGGAGTGCTGTGAGCCACTCTAACTAATTAATTGAACCTGAGGAGGGGTCATGGGACCCTCCAGTCTATAGCTGGTAACCCAAAAGCACAGGTGACAACCTGGGCTTGTAACTGGCCTCTGAAGTGGGGAGGTAGGAGCAGTCCGAGCCTTTCACCTGTGGAATCTGACGCTCTCTCCTATAGACAAGTGTAGAATTGAGTTGAATTGTAGGACACTCCAGCTGGTATTGCAGAATCACTTGGTGTGGGAAAAGCTATCACACATTTGGTGAGCAGAAGTGAAGTAGATTATTCCATGGGTAGACAGAAAACAGGGGAGGGTTTTTTTTTCACAACTGCCAATCAGAAATAAATCCAAAACAAAAAGGAATTTAAAAAAGGAGCAAGAGGGGAAAGGTGTGTGTTCACAGTAGTTGAGGATGGTACAATTTTAGAGAAGCCCATTTTCTGCAATTCACTCCTTTTTTTTACAAAAAAAAAAAATATTTTATTTATTTATTCATGAAAGACACAGAGAGAGGCAGAGACTTAGGCAGAGGGAGAAAGAAGCAGGCTCCCTGAGGGGAGCCTGATGCAGGACCCCCAGATCACGCCCGGAGCCAAAGGCAGACACTCAACCCTTGAGCCACCCAGGTGTCCCAATTCACTCCTTCTGACTACTATTAGGAGTTAGTCCTTCATTCCCCTGTCTTCATTCACCTGTATAAAAACAGCAGCAATAACTTGCTTTTGCTCCCTTACTCCAAGGGTAGCAATTGTTGCTCTGACCACTTCAGTGAATTCCTTCCCCCAGTGACCTCTGTCCCCAGGGGAGGGGAGAGAGAAATTATGTTCTTTGAATCGGCAAGCAACTTAATCTAAATTATCTCACTTGGCTGTGAAACAGAATGCCTCAACGCAGATTTCCAGGAGCCACCTGGAGTCCACTTACACCAACTTTTCCCTTTTCAGGCTACTGCCATTGAAGATCCTGCATTGAAAATGCAAGCACAGTCACCAGTGGTCATTGTGACTCAGCCTGGATGTGGTCCCATGCCACAAACCTCCAACTGGCAGACAGGCATGTGTGATTGCTTCAGCGACTGCGGAGTCTGTAAGTGCTGGATAATGCCCCTGTAGTTTGCCTTGGAGGCTAATGACTAAAGGCCAAAGCTTTCCCTCATTCCTCCCTTATGGCATAGTCAAGGTTCCCGGCCTATTACAGGGCATCTGGCATGTCAGGCAATGAATGGTAAGTAAAGATAAAAGGCTTGTGCTGATTATAGTTCATTTTTCATCAACACATCAATCAATAGTTTTTCTTTTAAAATAAGTTCCGGAATTAAGATAATAGTAACAAAGCTGATGATTCCCACAATGAATGGGTCTGGTCTAATGATTATAAATAGACCATACATTAAAATAAAAGGGCATTTCCAGTTTACCTTGACCTAAAAAAAAAAAGAAGAAGAAGAAGAAGAAGAAAAAGGAAAAAGACTTGTTATATATAAACTCATTACTTTAGAGTTACATTGTGCCCAGTACACAAGGGATAGTATTCATCCATGGTTTCAACATGAGCTCAGTGAAGAACTATTTTAATTAATACATTTAGGTTTTTATACACCTGAGTACAAAGAATTCTAAAGGCAGTCAGCTTCTCATCAGGAAAAGAATCTCTGACTCTGCTTCATTTCCTTTTTGTGAGATCTCTCCAAGTAAAACAGGGGAAAGTAAATTTGGGGGTGGGATGAGGATGTCAGAGAGGACCAAAGAGTTTAGTTCTCAACCAGGAAACAAACAAGTCTGCCTACAAAAAAATTTGCTTTGAGAGGCCCCTGGGTGGCTCAGTCAGTTAAGTGTCTATCTTCAGCTCAGGTCATGATCTGGAGGTCCTGGGATTGAGCCCATTGGCTCCCTACCTAGCAGGGAGTCTGCTTCTCCCTCTTCCCCTGCTGCTCTGCTCCTGCTCTCTCTCTTTCAATAAATAAATAAAATTTTTAAAAAATTTGCTTTGAGGTGTATTTGCCTGTCTCAAGTCTACAGAGTGTTTTGAGACAAGCAAAGAAAATATATTAACCTAAAGGTTAAAACTTACCAGTAAAAATGAAATTTGGAATCAAGTTGACCCCTGCACAACAGAGTTGTTCAGTTTGAACTGCACTGATCCGCTTATTTGCAGATTTTTTACAGTACAGTGCTATAAAAGTATTTTTTCTTCCATATGCTTTTCTTAACATTTCCTTTTCTCTAGCTTACCTTATGGTAAGAATACATATACAAAATATGTATCAGTCAACTGTTTATGTTATTGGTGAGACTTCCAGTCAATAGGCTACTAGTTGTTAAACTTGAGGGGCATTAAAAGTTACACAGAGAGTTTTTGGATGTGCAGGGGGTCAATCCCCCTCCAAACCCCCAGATTGTCCAAAGGCCAACTGTACATTAAAAACCACAGAGAGAAAAAATTACCTAGAAAATGGAACAATGGGTTTGTTTACTGGCTCTCATTGCCTTACTGGATGACCTGGGGTGATGACTTACACATCTCAAGACATTAGTTCAACATGTACAAGTTATAGTAATACTAAGACTAGCTACATTGCTAAAACCCTACAAAGATGAATATTTTAATCCTCCAATCCCTTGCATTATCACCCATATAAGTGAAAAACAAGTTCTAATACAAAGTTTAATTGCTTAATGGCAGGACTTCTTAATTGCAGACCTGACCAAATCACTCTCCCTTCTTAAAATATTTTGGTGATTCCTCATGACTTTCATGACCAACTCCATGCCCTCATACTTCATCATCCAGTCCCTAACCTGCCTGCTCCTCCAACTTTATCCCCATCCCATCCAGCCATGCTGAATGAACACCAGCCACTGCCAAGACATGCCAAGTGATCTCAAAGAGGATTTTCTCCCTTTTGTCTACCTGCAAAGTTCTAATCATCTTACAATATTCACATCAAGCAGCATATCCTTCCCAGAGCCTTTTGGGGCCTCATTTCTGTGGGTGACCCCTTGACATCTTGAGTAGATTTCTGGTGGAGAATTTTTTATATTATTACCTGACTGCCCTACTAGCTAGACTTCAGACAGCAGCACTCAGTTCTGAGAATAATCTCTGAGAGGCACGTGGGTGGCTCAGTTGGTTAAGTGACTACCTTAGGCTTGGGTCATGATCCCACTGTCCTGGGATCAAATCCCATATCCGACTCCCTGCTCAGTGGAGAGCCTGCTTCTCTCTCTGCCTCTGAATGCCACTCCCCTTGCCTCTTCTCTCTCTCTAACAAATAAATACAAAAAAAAAATCTTAAAAAGAATAATCTCTGGGACATGGCTAGATTTCTTTTTTTTTTTTTTTAGATTTTATTTATTTATTCATGAGAGACACAGAGAGTGAAGCAGAGACATAGGCAGAGAGAGAAGCAGGATCCCTGCAAGGAGCCCAATGTGGGATTCGATCCCAGACCCTGGGATCACGCCCTGAGCCAAAGGCAGATGCTCAACCACTGAGCCACCCAGGTGCCTCTATGACTAGGTTTCTGTGAGCCATTCAGTAGATGAATGAAGGCAGTACTACAAAAAGGATGTATACTTTTCAAAGTGTGATGATACCTGAAATGGTTGGGTGGAGAGAAGGGAGAAGCCAATGCAATGCTGAGCAAAAGCATTGAGGTTGGACTTGGCAGCAGGATGTTTGGTCAAGGCCTCATAAATGGGACTGACAGTAATGAAAGCAAATTAGCTTTCGAAGATGGCAGGAACACAGTGGAGTAACTGGTGCCTCTGGCTTCATGTGTCTAGGTCTCTGTGGCACATTTTGTTTTATGTGCCTTGCCTGTCAAATTGCAGCTGACATGAATGAATGCTGTCTGTGTGGGACATCTGTCGCAATGAGGACCCTCTACCGAACCCGATATGGCATCCCTGTGAGTCTCTTATGATACTGTACCATTTAAACATGCATCCACACTCAAAAAATAATTGTTACAAATCTGCAAGCCCTTTGATGGTGTCCATGACCTGAATTTGATTGGTAGGTGTTTCCTAGCATGTGCAGCCTTGTGCTCCAGCAATAGATTCTTTGGTTACATGACCTCCTTCTAGGTTTCTATTAAAGACCTTAGAGCATAAGCAACTGTTGTAATTGCAATGTCTATCATACAAGCATGGGGCTTACTCAGAACCTAGCATGCCCCAAGCACGTTACAGAGGACGCTTCACTGAATTCTCAGACCACATTTTACAGATGAGGACTTTAAAGTCTTAAGGGGTTTGGGTAACACTGCCAAAGATACGCACTAGTAGTAGAAGTTGTCACAACTCTGACTTTCCATGCATACACATTCCATTATTGCCACAAGCTGCACCTCATGTAGCAGGAGGATGTGTTAGTCAGGGCTCACCAGAGAAACACAACCAAAAGGAGATATACAGATGATGTAGGAAAACATATATCTATAAATAGAGAGGGAGATTTTAAGGAACAGGTTCATGTGATTGTGAGGGTTGGCAAGTCCAAAAAAAAAAAAAACAGAATAGGCTGGCGGGCTGGGAAGACTTCAATTCTGAAAGCAGCCTGCTGGCAGTATTTCTTCTTGCTCTGAGAATGTCAATCTCTTTCTATTAAGACCTTCAACTGATTGGAGGAAGCCTACCCACATTACAGAGGATAATCTACTCAGGATCTACTGATTTAAATGTTACTCTCATTTCTATTTCATATAATAGAACTGTCCAATCTGTACTCTTTTATCTAACTTCTTTTACTTAGTATAATTATTTTGAGATCCATCTAAGTTGTTAAGTGTTCTTAACACAGTAAACTAAATTAGGGGGAAGAGAAAATATTTGGATGGCAAATAAGCATGTAAAAAGATATTCAACATCATTAGTCATCATTAGAGAAATGCAAATGAAAACCACAATGAAATATGACTATGGGAATGGCTAAAGCTAATCAGCCTAACCACATTAAGTGTTGCCAGATATGGAGGAACTGAAACTCTCATACAATACTTGTGGGAATGTAAAATGCAGTTCCTTAAAAAGTTAAACACACCTACCATTTGACCCAGCCATTCTACTCCTAGATATTTACTCAAAGAAATATATGTTCATACCAAGACTTGTATCAGAGCGATTTGGCTTGTAACAGCCCAAACTAAAAACAATCCAAATGTTCCCCAGCAGGTGAATGGATAAATAAAGTGTGATATATCCATATAATGGAACAGTACTCAGGAATAAAAAGGAATGAATTATTGATATACACAAAAACTTGGATGAATTTCAAAATGAATATAATTTTAAGTTGTGGGTAAAAAATTAGGGGTCATTACTAATTGGAGAAATATTTGCTGTGGCACATCTATAGGAATACAAGGAATCAGAAAAGACCCATGCAGCAAGAAGACGTAAAGCAGTAAATAAAAGAAGAGGGGGGGCACCTGGGGGGCTCAGTGGTTGAGCACCTGCCTTTGGCTCAGGGCGTGATCCCAGGTCCTGGGATTGAGTCTTGTATCAGGCTTCCCACGGGGAGCCTGCTTCCCCCTCTGCCTGTGTCTCTGCCTCCTTGTGTGTGTCTTTCATGAATAAATAAGTAAAATCTTTTAAAAAATATTCAGTGAATACTAAACATAAAACTTTGACTATCTCATTAGTGAGAGCAATTTAGATTTCTCTGCTGTGTCTTTACCCTTTATTCTTTCTTCCAGTATGTATGTGTTAAATCTTAGGGAGTCTGATCTCTTGGAAGAGAGGAGAAGAACTTCCCCCACTTACCTCACCCCTCTCCTCTCCTTTTCTGGGGCCCCAAAGCCCACATCAGTGTCCCCTGTTACATTCAGCTGCATGCTGTATTGCCGGGGCAGAGCCACAGCTGGCAGCAAGGGGCTGGGTGCTTAGGTTTCGGTTAATCTCCTGTCTTCTAGTCCCCAGTTTCTTCTTCCTCCTTTCTGAGTTCCAGGGTTTTGAGTCCGGGATTTATCAAATGCCCTGTCCGTGACCCTGTTAGGTTTCAGGTTCCCTAGCTCCGTTTTACTTTCTCCATCAATCAAATCCCATTGGCTCCCTATTTAAAAAAAAGAAAAAATTGATCAAAATTTCTGGCCCACTGAATAACCCCATTCCTGTTTTCTAGTATAGCTTTAATTTATTTACCAAAGCTCTACAAGCATATAGTTTAATTTTAGATTATCTAATTTTTGTTAAGAAAAATAGTAGTCCACAGACTTCTCTTTCCTACTGCCTCCTTCCCAGAGCTCTGCCGGTATTTTCCTCCACATCTCCAAATCATAGACTTGTATTGCTACTTTTTGAGTTTTCAGTTGCCTATAGACCTTTGAGTTTTCAGTTGCCTAGAACTCCCACTATAAAAGAGGAGAACTTAGTTCTGTTCCCCCCACACACACAGACATGCACCCTCCCCATACCCATTCCTTCCAATATAGGCACATATAATTTGGGTTAAATCCATATTTGGGAGATGCCTGGGTGGCTCAGCAGTTAAGCATCTGCCTTCAGCTCTGGGCATGACCCTGGAGTCCTGGGATCAAGTCCCACATCAGACTCCCTGCATGGAGCTTGCTTCTCCCTCTGCCTATGTCTCTGCCTCTCTCTGTGTGTCTCTCATGAATAAATAAATAAAATCTTTTTAAAAAATCCATATTTGGTACTTATATTATGAGACCTATGTTTGCTCTTCAGAGTTGAGTCACGTAGTGAACTATGTATGATTGCTTTTTCTGCTGAACTTTGTTTTTCCTGGTTTTAATAATTCTTGGTGTTTCCATTAGTAGTTTTCCACTTACTTATGAGTAAGTAACCCCAAAACTCTTTCCCAGTTTTCTAACTCTCTTTCCAACACATTCAACACATTGGATATCCTATCATTTTTATCTTCTCAATGAAATCACTCCCTGACCTCCTACTGCCCTTGGAACTAATGGTTCTTTATTTGTGGTGCTTAGCTCTTGCCCTGGAATCTCCTTCAGCATCACCCTGGAGATTATAGTCACTTCTCTCCTGTGTTAGGCTCCTGTTTCTTACATACCACATCTTCCTCTTTCTTGGTTTCCTCCCTCGTTGTGGTGGCGGTATCCTCCAATAACTTCCTGAGACACAGAAGAGGTGTGGAAGAAAATAATTTTGAGATTTTACTTGCTGAAACTCTTGGTTTTTCCCTCATACTGACAGTTTGGTTGATTGATATCCTCTATATTCAACATTACAAAGTATAGGAAAACATTTAATGTCATCAAAAAGGAGTTACATGAAAAAGTCAATTAACATTTTTCTAAATATATCCATCCAAACTCTGAATTCAAAGAATCAGTTCCAGGACACCTGGGTGGCTCGTTGAGCATTTGCCTTTGGCTCAGAGCATGATCCCAGGGTCCTGGGATTGAGTCCTGTATTGGGCTCCCCACAGGGAGCCTGCTTCTCCCTCTGCCTATGTCTCTGCCTCTGTGTCTCTCATGAATAAATTTTTAAAAATTTAAGAAAAACAAAAACAAAACAAAACAAAACACAACAAAGGATCAGTTCCTTCTGCCTCTCTTCAAAGTGTCTTGAAAATCCGTATATCTTCATTTCCAAATAGGTGGATTTTACATTTCTACTTTTTTTATATTTTCAAACAGGGATCCATTTGTGATGACTATTTGGTGACTCTTTGCTGTCCTTATTGTTCTCTTTGCCAAATCAAGAGAGACATCAACAGAAGGAGGGCCATGCGTACTTTCTAAAAAAAAACTAATGGTAGGTCCCAGAATCTGGGTTTTGTTTGAAATATAATAAGGGCTTTGTAAATTATGCATTATTTTGAGTAATGATCCAATAATAACAATTCTTTAGGTCTTTCAAATGTTTTCTTAATATAAAGATTGATTTAGTTTCTTCTTATGAAGAAGATAGCTGTATTACGTTGCTTGGGCCATCATAACAATTTTAGCCTGAGTGGCTTACACAATAAGAATTTATTTCTCACAGTTATGAAGGCTGGGAAGTCCAAGATTATGGTGTGGACCAATTCAGTTCCTGTGAGGGCTCTCTTCCTAGTTTACAGATGGCTACCTTTTCAATGTGTCTTCAAATGGTAGAGAGAGTAAGGTGGTCTCTCTTCTTACAAAGACATTAATCCCATTGGGTGGGGGTGCTGCTGACCTTATTTCAGACCTAATTATCTCCTAAAGGCTCTATCACCTTATACCCTCACAGTGGGAATTAGGGTTTCAACATGTGAGTTTTGCAGGGGGCAAAACATTCAGTCTATAATGAAGTCTACAATAGCTTTATGTTTTGAAACCATATTTTAGTAAATAAAGGATGGTGACTTTTCTAGACTTCTCAGAATTCTCTTGATCCATTAATGAGGCACTTACCACTTGTAAAATGCCACAGTGTGGTAAGATACAAAAGAAGCAGAAAACATGCCCTCTACTAAGACAATCAAATTGACAAAAGAAATTGTTAAATAACTATAAAGTAGTAGAGCAGATGAAAATTACATGTTTTGTAATATTTGAAGTGATTGCAGCATAAAGCATCTATCAAGAATGAGGGGAAATTAAATAGGAAAATCCTATTGGAAAAAGTGAACTCTGAAAGTGGTGGATATAGAATATAGAATATTTGGAAATGTTTTATAGAATCTGAACTTCTGAAAATCAATCAAATCATTTCCAATTAATTTTTCCAGTATTCTCAGAATTAGCTATTAAATAGAAACAAACATGATTTTGTCAGTCTCCTATAGAATTTATTGTGAGTATGAGAAGGAAGCATTATTTTTCCATTCTTTGTAATATCCTATTTCCTTTCTCAAGTGAATGAGAACTCTGTATAGGTTAACAAGTATAACTCATGGATGATATGTTTTAAAGTGTCATTTATTTGGCAAATAATGTATCAAAGTACCTAGTCCTATGCAGGACAATGCTAGGAGCTGTGGGGAACAAAAATAAATAAGCTAGCCCTCTTGCATTTAGAGACTTTATACTCTGAAAGAGGAGATTAGACAGCTTTTAAATAAAATGATGAGTTTGACTAATGCCTTTAGACCAAGTGTTATTTTATGTTCAGAGGAAGAAAAGATCATTTTCTGTTAGATGTGTAAATGAAATGTTCTTGAAAGAGTGTTTTTTTTAATTCTAAAGAGGACATGAGTATTAAGGTCACAATAGGAAATAGATGGCACTCAAATTGTAATAATACAAAGATTTAATGAAGACCACTTACAATACAGGTGTGGGTGGGAGGTCTAGGGAAATGGCAAGGGATGGTCCCAGAGCCTAGGCTGACAACATTTAAACTGTAACCACTTTACCACCCCTAGGCCTCAGGAGTTACGGAATCCCAAAGGAGTGAGCTTGAGGAGAAGGCTGCCCTGAGAGGAATGGTAACCTCTCAACAGGAAGTAGGCAAGAGGAAAAGTACCTGGATCTCACTTTCTGAGGTCCTTCTAGGCTTCCCACTGTTTGAACCCACTGGTTGGCAGAGGGCAGGAGAGTGTTGCTGTAGTCTACAGGTCAGCCTCCCAGGACACACAGCAGTGCAGACAAGGATGGAAATGGATCAGATGGGGGCAAACATAAGATCTCTGATATAAGATGTGACTGTTATTAATAGAAACTGATATTGCTTCTAATCAGCAAAGTTAGTGAAAAAAATGGAAGCAAAGAAAGGAAAAACATCTTTATGAGTTTAGGTCCATCCAACTTGGCAGGAACATGTAAGTAGGAAAATCACAAGAAAAGACTTTAAAAGTGAGTTGGGGTACACAATACAATGAAATTAGGCTAATGACTTGGTCTTTTATTTGGAAAGCAGCGGGAGTTATTATAGGCTTTATGTAAGGGAGTAACATAGAACTATACTTTAGAAGAATTAATCTAATAGTGGTTTATAGCACAGACTGGACAGGATGAGGTCAGAAGCAAAGATGCAGAAGCAAAGGTACAATGCGGTCAGAAGCAAAGACTAGCTCAACACCATTTAAATAAATACACAACACAGGTCAGATGAAATCTATACTCACATATCCATAATGAATCCTGACATCTGAACTTTTTTTCTTTAGCCTCAGAGAAATAATCTTCCTGAATCTTTGAATTGGTTTGAGGTAAAAATGCCTTGGTGATCCTGACTCTGGCTCATTACTTTGAACCCTGCATTATTCATCAACTGTGAAACTTTAGATATACAAATACCTGAAATGGGAGAATCAAGAGACAAAGATCAATAAATAACATGATTTATGTTAAAAAAAAATAGGTTGAGGGGTGCCTGGGTGGCTCAGTCAGTTAAGCATCTGACTTCAGCTCAGGTCATAATCGTGGGGTCCTAGGATTGAGCCCTGTGTCAGTTTACCCTGCTCAGTGGAGGAGTCTCTCTGTCCCTTTCCCACTTGTGCTCTGTCTCTTTCTCAAATTAATTAATTAATTAAAAAAATAAATAAGTTGAAAGAAAGGGACATAGGACCCAACTGAAAAAGCTCCCAGTTGTGAACACTGGAACCAGTGATGTCATGTTAATAGCATGTACCCCTGAAATGATGTGATGAGAATGACACTGTACCTTTGTGATCTTCCCCTCAAGACCCCATAACTCCAGTCTGACCAGGAGAAAAACATTAGACAAATCTAAACTGAAGCATAGGTATTCTGCAAAACACCTGACCAGTAGTTGACAAAACTGTCAAGGTCATCACAAATAAGGAAAGTCTGAGAAACAGTCACAGTGTAGAGGAACCTATGGAAACATGATGACTAAATGTAATGTCCTAGATTGGATGGGATCCTGGAACAGAAAAAAAGGACATTAGGTAAAAACTGAGAAATCTAACTAAAGTATATTCTTTGATTAATGATATTCTGTATCAACATTGGCTCCATAGTTGTAACAAACCTATCTTAGTAAGATGTTAACTGGTAGGGAAATCAGTGCAGGGTGTATAAGAACTCTCTGTACTACCTTTGCAACTTTTTTGTAAACCTGAAATGATTCTAAAATTTAAAGTTCATTGAAAATAAACATGTAGATTGAGACAATTCAAACCTTTTCTTTGTATGTCCCTTATAGGTGGAAGATCTTACCAAAGCAACAAAAATCAGCAGGCACCTCTTCAGCTTGAGTCCTCTGCCTTTTGCAACTGAAATATGATAGATCTGCTTAATCACAATCGATGGGGTAAAAAAAAATGGATTTTGATTTATTTTAAATGAACGTGTTCCCTTAGTTTTGCTAAATGGTCCAGCTTAGTTTCTCGCTTTCATGTTCTCAAATTTTCTGGCTTATGAATTTTGTTACATTTAGTATGTAAACAAAATAAAAGATTTTGCTAACAAGGTTCTATGCTTCTTTGCTCTCCATGTCTTTATGTCATTAATTTTAAGGGTCAGTCTTATACTTTTGTTCTTATGATTTGGTTTCTCTATAGGAGATTTTGGTCCACAGCAAGTCAGTTCGCTTTCATCTGAGAAATTTGAGACAGAAAAAAAAAAAAAGACTACAGATAACTATTATAAGACACTTACAATACATTTAGCTAATACTTTCTGCTCCTTATCATGTTATCTGTATTATTAATGCCAACAAAGTAAGAACACACTATGTCCTGCTTCCCAGCTGCATACCTGATAGGTTCCTTGTGTTGATTTTTGTTTTCTTCTGAATAGGAAGTATTAGGACAAGTAATAAAAATTCAGTGATTAAATTCAGTATGACCCAGTTTTGATTAAATATTGATGATAAATGAAAGAAGCAACATTTTTTTCCACATGTATTATTCTATGTGTTCCACATGCATCATTTTGCCCTGATGAAAATCTCACTCCCCAGTTTCCTTTGGTTCTCCTCCTACCGTTGAATCCATTTCTTTTGTTGGGGTGGGGGGAGGGGAGGCAAAAGTACTGTATAGGTTTATTGTGAAATTTCAGAGAGATCAAATGTAAAGGCACCTGGATTTCAACGTACTCAGCAAACTTGAGTGCTCTGCCCTTTCTTGTACTTGCTTCATGAGTTTAGGTGCTTTGCAAGGTTCTATCTGGGATCCACTCCTTTCATATCTCATGCTTTTCTTAATGTCATCTACCCCTATGGCTTCAACTGCCTCCTAGATGTCAGCGATCACTGTATTTCCAGTCTCCCGCTTACAATGGATGTTCTGAATGACTCTTCAGCTGCTTACTAATCGAGTCCATCTAGATGTCCCCTAGGCCTTCTCTACCCAACATGTCAAACAATATCACCACTTACTCAGTTGTTCAAGATGAGAAATCTAAGTATCAATGAGTCCTGAATTGACTAATCACCCCCTTCTCCCTTCTCCTCACATCTAATCAGACACTGGCTTCTGTCACATAAACTCCACTTGATACCCCCAATGGATGATCTATTTCCTTTGTTGCTGTATCCCCAGTTCCTATTCTACTCAAATCATTTACTAAACGAGTCAATCTGTCCTCTTCTGTCTTCAATGCCATGGATGTAGTCAAACCCTCAGGATCTCTTTGGAAAATCAGGTACATAGCTCCTGAACTAGTTGGCCCGCCTCTAGTAACTAGAGCTCCTGTTACCTTCTTTCCAATCTATCCTATAAACTGCCTGCCACAAGTTAAACTGTGAACTTTCTAAAAAAAGGATCCCAAATTTTCCCTGCCCCCATAATATAGCCTCAGGTTTAGCCCATTCTCCTGCCACTTCTTCACTTTTAAAATTTCCTTTTACTACCTTCAACACACATTTTTAAAAATTTAAATTCCAAAAAATAAATAAATAAATAAAAATAAAATAAATAAAAATTTAAATTCCAACTGTTCATTGAGGTATATAGGAAAGCAATTGACTTACTTGTATATTAACTTTGTATTCTACAACTTAGCTATATTTGTTTTTTAATTCCAGGAAATTTTTTTGGCTGATTCCTTAGGATTTTCTATGTAAACAATCACTGTGAATTAAGTTTTTGCCTCCTTCTCAATCTGTGTAAGTTTAATTTTCTTTTTTGGTCTCATTGAATTACTTAGGACTTTTGGTATGATGTTGAGTACGAGAAGTGAGGGCAGATGATTCCTTATCTCAGGGGAAAAAATCTGGTTAGCTAGTTCCTCATTATGAAATATGTTAGCCATAGAGGGTTTTTGTAGATTCCTGATTTTAGGGAGAAAGAATCAAGTAATCCAGTTTCTCGCTGTTAATATTATATCAGTGATAGGCTTTTTTGTAGATGTTATCAAGTTGAAGAAATTCCTTCTATCTCTAGTTGAGTTTTTATCATGCATAGGGAGTGGATTTTGTCAAAGGCTTTTTTCTATACCTATTGATATGATCATATGATTTTTCTTTAGCTTGTAGATAGGAGATTATATTCTTTTCAAATGTTGGAAGAGTCTTGCCTACCTGGAACAAATCTCATTTGGCATATATTCTCTTTACATATTGCCAAATTTGATTTGCTAATATTTTGTTAAGAATTTTTACATCTGTGTTCATGACAGATATGAAACTGCAGTTTTCCTCTCTTGTAATATCTTTATCTAGCTTTGGTTTGAGGGTGATGTTAACCTCACAGAATCAGAAAGTATTTTCTCTGTTTCCATTTTTTGGAATAAATTGTAGAGAATTGGTATGATTTCTTTCTCAAATGTTTGATAGAATTCATCAATGAACCCATTTGGCTTTAGTGCTTTCTATTATCAAAGGTAATTATTGATTCAACTTTTTTGATATAGGCTTATTCAGATTGTTTATTTCTTCTTGTGTGAGTTTTGGCAGATTATGTCTTTCAAAGAATTGATCTATTTCATCTAGGTTACCAAATTTATAGGCACAGAGTTGTTCATATTATTCCTTTATTATCATTTTACTTTTAATTGGAACTATAGTGATGACCCCTTCCTTTCACTTCTGATACTAGTAATTTGTGCCTTCTCTTAATTAGCCTGGCTAGAAGCTTACCAATTTTACTGATCTTTACAAAGAATCAGCTTTTAGTTTCATTGACTTTTTAAAACTAATTTCCTGGGGAGGAGAGTGGGGAGATGGGGTAACTGGGTGACAGGCACTAAGGAAAGCACTTGGTGGGATGACCTCTGGGTGTTACACTATATGTTAGCAAATTGAATTAAATAAATTAAATAAATAAATAAATAAAGTTAATGTTTGTCTTGAAAAAAAGAGAAGTCAACCTAATCCCCCCCTCCCAAATAAAATAAAACTAATTTCCTATTTTTAGTTTCACTGACTTATGCTCTGGTCTATTCTAACTTTTATTGTTTCTTTTCTTCTGCTTACTTTGAGTTTTAATTTCTAGTTTCCTAAGGTGGAAGCTTAGATTATTGATATTAGATCTCTCTTCTAATATATGCTCTGCTTGTACAACATCCCACAGATTTTGAGAAGTTGTATTTTCATTTTCATTTATTTCAAAATATTTTTGAATTTCTTTGGAGATCTCTTCTTTGACACGTGTTATTTGTGTATTTATTTATTTATTTTAAAGATTTTATTTATTTACCCATGATAGACATAGAGAGAGAGAGGCAGAGACACAGGCAGAGGGAGAAGCAGGCTCCATCCCAGGAGCCCGATGCAGGACTCGATTCCGGGACCCCAGGATCCCATCCTGGGCCAAAGGCAGGTGCTAAACCGCTGAGTCACCCAGGGATCCCCTGTGTGTTGTTTAAACCCCAAAAGTTTTGGGATTTACTAGCTATCTTTTTCTTATTGGTTTCTAGTTTAGTTTCATTGTGGCCTGAGAGCATCCACTGTATGATTTCTATTCTTTTTAGTATGTTAAGATGTGTTTTATGAGCCAGGATGTGGTCGTCTATCTTTGTGAATGTTCCATGTGATAATCTCACAGAAAAGTAAAGGGGGGGGGGGATCCCTGGGTGGTGCAGCAGTTTGGCGCCTGCCTTTGGCCCAGGGCGTGATCCTGCAGACCTGGGATCAAATCCCACGTCAGGCTCCAGGTGCATGGAGCCTGCTTCTCCCTCTGCCTGTGTCTCTGCCCCTCTCTCTGTATCTCTCATGAATAAATAAATAAAAATTAAAAAAAAAAAAAAGAAAAGTAAAGGGGGGATCCCTGGGTGGCGCAGTGGTTTGGCGCCTGCCTTTGGCCCAGGGCACGGTCCTGGAGACCCGGGATCGAATCCCAAGTCGGGCTCCCGGTGCATGGAGCCTGCTTCTCCCTCTGCCTGTGTCTCTGCCTCTCTCTATGTCTCTCATGAGTAAATAAATAAATAAAATCTTAAAAAAAAATGCTCTGCTGTTGTTGTATGACTGATGGTGCTGATGAGTTCAACTATGTCCTAACCAATTTTCTGCCTGTTGGATCTGTCAATTGCTGATAAGGGGGTGCTGAAGTCTCTAAGTGTAACAGCGGATTCATCTATTTGTTCTTGCTGTTCTATCAGTTTTTGCCTCATGTATTTCAATGCTCTGTTGTGACGCTCTCCATTTTTTTTTAGATTTCACTCATTTATTCATGAGAGATACAGAGAGAGGCAGAGACATAGGCAGAGGGAGAAGCAGGCTGCCTGTGGGGAGCCCAATGCGGGACTCAATCCCAGGGTCCTGGCATCACAACCTGAGCCAAAGGCAGATGTTCAACCACTGAATCACCCAGGTGCCCCCGATGCTCTGCTTTTAATTGGACATTTTATGATCCTATTTTGTACCTTCTCTCTTAGCGTTATCAATTTTATATATTTTAAAATTTTATTAGTCACCTTCCAGTTTGCTATATATATTTACAACTAATCTAAGTCCATGTTTAAACACTATACTGTTTCATGGGTAGTACAGCAATCTTATAAGAGAATATTCCCAATTTCTGCCTCCCATCATTCCTGTCATTCATTTTACTTATCCATATACTATAAACATTAAAAAACTATTGCTATTATTTTGAACAGAGTCATTAGAGTCATTAGACCAATTAAAAATTTTTAGGATGAAAGCGAGGGCCGGCCGAGAGGAAACAGACGAGGCGAGTCTCCCACTGATAGGCCCGAGCTGCTTGGAGACATGGAGGAGGCCTGTGGAGGTGGTGGAAATGATCGTGTGCAGAACTTGCAGAGTGAGGTGGAGGGAGTCAAAAATATCATGACTCAGGGATGTGTTGGCAGCTCAGCGGTTGAGTGTCTGCCTTTGGCCCAGGGAGTGATCCTGTGGTCCAGGGATCGAGTCCCATATCGGGCTCCCTGCATGGAGCCTGCTTCTCTCTCTGCTTGTGTCTCTGCCTCTCTGTCTGTGCCTATCATGTACAGATAAATAAAAACCTTAAAAAAAAAAAAAGAAAAAAAGAATATCATGACCCAGAATGTGGAGCGTATCTTGGCCCGAGGAGAAAACCTGGACCATCTCCGCAGCAAGACAGAGGATCTGGAAGCCACATCGGAGCACTTCAAGACCACATCACAGAGGGTGGCTCAGAAGTTCTGGTGGAAGAACGTGAAGATGATTGTCCTCATCTGCGTGATTGTTTTTATCATCATCCTTTTCATTGTGCTTTTCACCATCCATGCTATCCCCACATAGAGAGCCCCTCCCCCCAGCCCGCCCTCTTCTTTAGGGCAACCCTCCATAGCAGGTGCCAAGAAGGGCCCTCTTCCATCTTGTCTGCAGGAAGTGCTGCTGTGTCCTCCTGCCCCTCACTCTGAGGCCCCTCTGCCACACTGTCTGCCCCAGGCACCTTGGTCCCCCGAAAGGAGAAAGCTGGACTGTGGCTGTTTCATGAGCCCTCAGAGTTGGTTGGAGAGATATCCAGAAGGCCCAGCATGGGGCTAGGATACTGATGGTGGCCAGTGGGCAATAAAGACCTTTCAGTATCCCTTCAAAAAAAAATTTTTTTTTTAAAGATTCTATTTTACCTTTATCTATTTGTTCTCCAATGCTCTTCCTTTATCCAAGTTTCTAACTCATACTATTTCCTTTACTTTGAAGAGTTTTTTGCACGTCTTGTAAGGCAGGTCTCCTGGCAACAAATTTCTTCAGTTTTTGCTGAGACTCTTCCTCTTTCACTTTTAAAGGTTCATTTTGCTGGATAATATCCTGTATTAGTTTTTTCTTTCAACATCTTAAATATCTACAGTCTGTTCTTGCTTGCATGGTTTCTGACAAGAAATCCAATATAATTCTTACCTGTGTTCCTTTATAGAAAAAGTCTTTGGGGCACCCGAGTAGTTCAGTGGTTGAGCGTCTGCCTTCAGCTCAAGTCGTGATCCAGAGGTCCCGGGACTGAGTCCTGCTTTGGGCTCCCTGCAGGGAGCCTACTTCTCCCTCTGTCTATGTCTCTGCCTCTCTGTGTCTCTCACAAATAAACATTCTTCTTCTTCTTCCTTTTTTTTTTTTTTTTTTTTTTAAAAAAAAGGTGTTTTAGGGCACCTGGGTGACACGGTGGTTAACTGACATTTGATTTCAGCTCAAGTCCTGATCTCAGAGTCATGAGATCTAGCCCTGCATTGGGTTCCACAATCAGCACAGAGACTGCTCGGGACTCTTTCCCTCTCCATCCATTACTATTTCACTGTTCCTATCAGGTACTGCTCCAAGAGTTTCTGCTCCCAGTAAGCTCTCTCAACTGTGATGCTATCTGCCAGTCTTTCCAGGTTTGGCAGTAGTTTGCGCCCTGTGACTTCAATTCTCTGGTAGAAATAAGAAAAACCATTGATCTTCAGCCTGTTAGGTCTTTTTCTTATTGTGAGGGTGGAGAGATGACTTCTAGGCTCTTCACATGTTGGAACTGAAACCAGAAGTTGCCTTCAAACTTATTTTTTTAGAAGTCCTTTCCCCATTTTCTCTATAAAGCTAGGCTGAAATAACCCTCTCTGAGAAGTTTTCCCAGCCCAGTCTCCACAAAATGTAAAGCTTTTTTCCCTGTGCACTCTAGTACTTGGTACAACTACAGGTATTGCACATGCTGTCTACTGGCTCTGTGGCTGAATGCCTGGAGAATCTGGCATACCTGATACTGGCTTATGTCTGCATTCCTAGCATATGCTATAAATCAATGTCTATTGAATTGAAAGGAAAAATGAACAAAACACTGTTCACTAATTAAAAACAAAGTACTACTTTTATTTGGCTCACTTCTCCATTTATTAGAATTACCACATTTGGAGAGGCACAAAGCACTTTAAGTTTTACATGACTACAAAGTTATCACAAACCCAAACTTTTTAGCCACAGATATTTCACTTACTCTGTTTAAAGAAAAAGCCTTCAAAACGTTTGAGTTAGCTTGATACACAGAGACCCTGAATACACGAGAACTACATATTTTCAAATGCTTGCATTTCCTGTTCTAATAATGTCTTCTTTAAATGGGATCCAGCATAAAAGGGATTGAAGTATGTAAGGTCATGATGCAAATGCTTTGGAGAGACAGTGAAATTAATCTGTACAACATTGTAAAAGATGTAGTGTGCACAGAAGTTTTGCAAGGATTCACTGAGCCATCTGTGCTTCCATGGCTTGTGCTGTCCATTCTGGTGCTGTCTGACTAATTTTCTCCAAAAGGTTATTCACTTGGAAACAAAGTGACTGGATCTGTTTATCCCATGTTGGCAGAGCTTCTCGTGCTAAAAAAAAAAAAGAACAATGTACAAAGTTTAACATGACTCTAAATATACATAGCATGTGTGAGTTAAAAGATAAATACAGTAGTATTAATTTTCAAAAATGTACTCCAAAAATCTTGGCTAATAAAATTAAGCTAATTAAGTGATATTAAGGAAAGTACCCAAATAACTGGCACAAAGTACAAAACAAAAAAACATACACACATTATTATTATTCATGAAAACAAAATAAAACCAATCAATTAAAGCATCTCATTCACAAAAACAATACAAACCTCACTGAACCCATCTCATCACCAGTTTCTTGATTCATAAGACACTGCCACCTACTGGAGAAGGCAAATCTATTTATATAGGCAAGGTTCTCTCTACTGGATTCTGAGGAATGGTTTAATGTTAAAAACAAAACAAAACAAAAAAACTCAACATGAAAACACCAGGATTTTCTCTGCACCAGCAATATATACAGTTAGAAATGATAAACCTGGTGGAATATTCCATCCAAAACAGCACCCAAATTTGCAAAAATGGGCATAGAATTAATGAAAATAACTGAAATAAAAATTTTTAACAAAGGACACAAAATAATTTGAGTAGACACAAACCACAGTCTCAGATGGAAAGATGCAATAGCATAAAAATAACAGTCTTTCCCTATTAATATATAAATCTTTAAAAATTACAAATATAATTCTCCTTTTCTCTGTTTTGCTTTCTAAATAAGATAAAATTATTAAAATTAATATTGAAGAATTGATGTTTGAGAATAGTCAAGATGATTTTGAATATTAAGAACAATGGCAACATTGTGGTATATCTCCACAGTGGGATAAAGTACTGCTTACATGCTACAACATGAATGGAACTGGAAAGCTCCATGTTAAGAGGGATCTCTGAGTGGCTGAGCGGTTTAGCGCCTGTCTTCGGCCCAGGGCATGATCCTGGAGTCTGGGGATCGAGTCCCGCATCAGGCTCCCTGCAGGGAGCCTGCTTCTCCCTCTGCCTGTGTCTCTGCCTCTCTCTCTCTGTGTCTCTTGTGAATAAATAAATAAAATCTTTAAAAAAAAAGTCATATAGTGTATGATTACATTTATATGTAGTATCTAGAATAGGTAAATCCAAGAGATAAAATTCAGACTGGTAGCTGCCAGGAGTTGGGAGAAGGATGGATGGAGAGCAATTGCTTAATAGGTACAAGATTTCCTTTTGGGAATATGAAAATGTTTGGAAGTAGGTAGAGTTAGTGGTTACTAAATGCCACTGAATTGCTTACTTTATAATGGCTAATGTTATGTGAATTTCAACTGAATAAAAAATAGTAGTGGAGGGGTAGTAGATGCTTTTCCAACAGTAAAATTTACTATAAATTTGTTTATTACCATATTGTTACAGGTCAATGGAACCAAAGAGATTATAGAAAGAGATCCAAAGATGTATGTGGAACCAAATTTTTGTCAAAGATCAGAAAGTATGTTTTACTTAATAAATAATAGTACTTGCAAATTAGCAATCCATCTTAAAAAAAAAAAGACAAACAACTAGACCATACCTTAAAATTATACACAAAAATGAACTGTGGACAGATTATGTTTCTAAACATAAAATAAATAAAAATATTACAAGAAATTTTAGAAAGATTATTAGTTTTACCCCGAAGTGAATGAGACCCTTTTTAAGTCAATACAGGAAACTAAAAAGCCTTAAAATTAAAAATTGATGTTTAGCTGCATAAGAATTTTAAAATGTGTTTATGGTACGCATTGCCTTACTTCAGAAACATGACTGACAGAATGGGAAAAATATTCCTAACACATATAACCAACAAGAGTTTAAATTATCATTAAACCCAAAGCTATAACAAATTGACACTGAGTGGTCTGAAGAAGAGGTATAGGGGAAGGAAGGAAATAGAGCAGAAAAACTAACATCAATTCACAGAAGAGGAATGCTAACGACCAATACACTCACTAGTGCTAAGGAAATACACACTAAAACAATAATGTAGCTCCCCCTCATAAATTAGCAAAAGATAAAAAGGAATAACATAGAGCTGTTGAACATTCATCCTCTCATATTGGTCAAAGTGTAAATGGCTACATTTTTCTGGAAAGCAAGCTGGCAGTTTCCATTAAGGATCAAAATACATATATTCTTTGATGCAATGTTATCACTTTTAAGAATTTGTTCTACAGAAGTAGGTATACCAGCATATAAAGGTACACACAAGGAAACTACTTGGATATCCATCAATAGGTGAATAGTTGAACTCCATGAAATACTACACAGTTTTTTGTTTTTGTTTTAAGATTTTATTTATTTGTTCATGAGACACAGAGAGAGAGAGAGGCAGAGACATAGGCAGAGGGAGAAGCAGGCTCCATGCAGGGAGCCCAATGGGGGACTCGATCCCAGGACTCCAGGACTCCGGGATCACACCCTGGGCTGAAGGCAGATGCTCAACAGCTGAGCCATCCCGGAGTCCCAATACTACACAGTTATTAAAACAAGTAACTTTGATATATATCTACTGACTTGGAAATTGTACATGGTATTTCAAAAAGTTTGTAGAACACCATGTACTTTAAAATGCCACTTTTAAAGAAACTATGTTTTTACATATCTATATAAGCATATAAAAAGATACACAAGACTTTAGTATTAGTTATGCCAGGGAGAGGAAACATATGATGAACTCTTCCTTTATTTATACTTGCAATGGTTTACCTGTTATTATGAGCACATTTTCATTGCAATTTCTTAAATTTAAGAAAATTAGAAAAAATATTACATACTCTATTAAGTTAGTATACATTAATATAAGCCGTCCTTGCACTTGGTGACACCTCTGCTATACTATTCATTATGTACTGTGTTTGTTATTCAATACTTATTTAACAAAGTATGGGGCATTGGAACACATGTTGGTTATACTATACCATAGAGCAAAAAGAGACTTAA